AAGGTGCTAGATCTGCATTCGCGCGCTGGGACCGCCGTCGTCCCGCTTTTGGAAGATTTTTAAACTGCGCTTGTGATATTTATATATTAGATAACAGAATGAAAAATCAGAGTACTGAAATTTTGGGCTCACCTGCTGCTTCCCATTCCCATTCCTTGCGCATTGGCACCCTGAGACGAGCAGGGTTCATTTTCTTCTTCACTGCTCGCATAAGCAGATTCGGGCAGAACCTGCAACATCAAATGTGCTCCTTTCTATAGCAGTGAAAACCATATGGACATACATCTAAACGGTTTCTTCCCAAAGGCGGGTCTTGAGTGCTTTGCAGCAGTTCCATGAGGGCACGTCCAGAGCCAAGAGGTTGTGCTGTTCCTACTCCTAGAAAGACAAGTAAAATGCAACTCAGTGGATTCAAATAAATGAATGAAATAGAATAAATAAATACTCATTAAAAAGGAGATAGTCGCGCAAATTATATGAGCTAACCCAGGCAAAACTCAAAGAATTGTCTAACCGTGCTCATCAAAAGCGTATGTCCACCACATTCCATCAGCATCTTGAAATGAATGCACAGCTCCTTGAGAAGTGTCCTCGTGACCTGCAGCAACATGGGTACCATCCTTCAGCGCCATGTCCGACAATGCTACTACTGAAGATGATGACGATCGTCGTCTTGTCGGCGCTCTGAAAAAGTCTGGCATACAAGGGCACGATAAAAATTTTTTCAAAACTTATCCAACCCATGCAACCTTAACATTTGCGGGACACGATGCGATGCAGAACTTCGTCCAAGCCTACTCTGACGGACATTCTCGATGACATCCAATGTCTCCGGATGTTTCTCAATCAGCTCCTCCAAAAACTTGGTGATTTCCACTTTGATATCAGCCCCTGATGCTGAAGTACGAGAATATGTTACTCAAGTTGGTAAACATGTTGCAAAGAACTCACCTCTATCGTCAGGAGCTTTGCTGATGGATGTTGACCTAGGACGATCAGTGTCACCAAGAGAGACAACAACAGGATACCATCCTGATGTTGATGGCGGAGAATCATCAACTATTTTCTGGAAAAAGGTACTATATTTGATGACAAAGGGGATCTTGAGCTGAAGAGAATGTACCGTGATTTTCGATTTCCTGCGTTTCAGTCCAGTCTCCTCATTTCCCGTGAACTCAAATGAACTTTCTTTCTCGCGAAAACCCTTGCTA